ACAGCACAAAGAAAAGTGCCGCCTCCAGGAAACGAACTCGAGACCTACCTTGGGCATTCGGGAATTATTACTGTGGGCATTATTACTATACTCAACTGAAGGATATATGCTTTTCTATTTAGGAACCGAATGGAACCACGTCGCAAAAGTAAGAGACCACAGTGTTCCGTTTGTTCAAGGTTTTTGACGAAGGGTGGTCGATGCAATTCCTGTATTGCTTGCAATGTAAGCGCTTTGCCGAACTTGCATAACGCGAAATCTCAAGTGTATGATACAATTCACATCTTCAGCTTCGTAACGAGATCCACAAGAAGGAACAGGAAGATGCTCAAGCGGCAGTTGCTCATCAGGTAAGTTCTTATGTCAGATCTATATCCTATGCTTTTTGTTTTTAGCACTCGCGGGCGTCTATACCACCAGTAGCGCCACCTGCTTATCCACTACCTGATTTTCAGCTTACACCGCCTGCGCTACGGCCAGTAGGTTCCATTATTCTGACGTCTTTCATATCAACTTCAGGCTCCTGCTCCTCCTTCCCCTTCCCCTTGGGGAATGTTGATGGAATGTCGATCGATAGTGATAACTTAGAAGAATGTTGTATTTGCTGCTTGACTTTTGTAGAAACACATAGGGTAGATAGGCGCAGTATACAGGGTAGAGTATACTCGGCGGTGCGCTTGAGATATGATGATAGGCCCGTAATTCCTCTCTGCATAGCATGCTTCAAATACGTGTGTAAAAATGACAATTTGAGCGCGCCACAAGTCGCTGCTAGGAATAACCCGGATCAAGACGTTGATAGTGATTCGGAGAACGATGACGCGTCTACTCACTCCAGAGTAGAGTTTCATCCAAACTAAGTCACTGCTTCAGTGATCTCCAACCGATGATAGATGCAGGGTTGGTAAGGGACGCAGCTCACGCTTTAGAACTGAAAGAGCTTGCTGGCAAGATTCACGAACATGATTGCGAGAAGGCTGGATATAGATGCTGCAAGAAGCGAGATAGAGACGGCAAACGCATTTGTAGGTTTCCCAGACGCCCTGCTCCCGCCGAGTATTCGACTCGAACAATCCATGTTCAACACTCAGAGCAAGCGTTACACATTTTGCATGACTGTGGCTTAGCAGAGGTCCGCCGGAGTCCCAGCGGGTATGGCGAGCTTCTCACAGATCCTGAGCTTACTCCTGAGAAGCACATGTATCCAGCGGATCCTCATAACTGATTCTCTCCGATGAACGATTGGATATTTGTAGCTGCCAGGAGTAGCGATAACTTGCAGATATGCAGTCCAGCTTTCACTGCCCATTACCGGGCTAAATATGCTGCTGGATAAGAGATGCGAGAGCTCTCCTAAGGGCTGGGAAGGATGCAAACACTATGAATGTTCAACAGGACGATTTGCGTAATGTCAAGGTTGCGGGCGCAACTGTGGCCGCTACAAATGATAAATCTTGCGAGCGCGTAAGCACAGCCGTTGAGGGAAGGACCTTATCACTGACCGGAGCGGTATGGTGGTTATTAGGCGTCCCTTACGTTTCGTCGTGTTCACATTAGTATCTAATCGTACTCCAAGGTAATATGAGTTGGCTGGAACGGCTCACGGGTCGGGAGTACATTTACGATCTGCTCCTGGATTGCAGCACCTGATCGGAATGAAGGTCCATTGATGTTGATGTTAGTTATCCATTAACTGATCTTTGTACACGAATTTGTTCCGCTCGCAATAAGTCTTGACATACTCCTTGGATCGAGCTCGAAGCTGTTCGTGTATATGGTGTAAAAACTGGTGTACATATATATAGATAATCCTACCACGCGAAGTGGAGATCATCATCGAATTGATGATTGACAATTGACTCACCCATGAACGGAAATGCCAGGTGGTCTCCATCATATTGTAGAGATACCCAGTCCTCTCCAGCCGATACACTTTGGATTTCACCATAAGTCGCCTCGACGCCATTTCTTCCACGAGGAGGGTCTTGCACCCATTCGATACCGTTCCCCAAAAAAATCATATAATGTGTGAGGACAAATAGCTCAGCCAATGAACAATTGAGTTTACATTGTCCTGTGCAAGATCATCGTGTGCTATAAGATTATCAGAAGCATATCCCAACGATCACGCTGATATACACCATATCCGCTCGTGTAGCAATCAATACGAGAGTCAGTGAACAATTCTGTGCACTGATCTGTGAAGTCACCCGCCATCAAACTTAGCGCCCGCCCAGATAAGCACACGAACTTTGAATTGTTTTATGCAGAATTTCAAAGTTTGGTGAAGTACACCCAACCTGGTAACCGTGTTTGGTGCTATGTTGGATGCCCCCAACATATTATTGGTTATGGTGTTAAGGACATTGAGTGAACTGATCCATGTTTGTAAATGACATAGATAGCATTTGAGTGATTTGTGCATACATGTCGATATGACGTAAGATAGCAAGAATTAGTCTTGCTAGAATCACTCGGAGATTCATTCCAACGTTCTAGTCGAACCAATGACAGGAAGTGTCCCATTGTTCAATTCATTATACCATTTCTTTTACTCATGTCAAATAAGTGGTACTGCCATATTTGTCACTATTTTGGGGTAGAGTTGGGTGTGAGAATCGAGATCTATGGCTTGAGTGAAGCCCGATACTCGAGTCGAAAACTGTTTCATGAGCTCGAAACAGTTCCTTAACAACAAATTTGTGCATGTAAGAACTGTTTTTCAAGTATAAAACTGTTTTGAACTCATTAGTTTATGCAACTAACACCTGCTTCACGAACACGAAACCGTTTTCAGCAATGAGACTATGCGAATGAGAACTGTTTTTCGAGCACGAAACTGTTTTTTGGCAAATAGTTTACGTCCGTACGCATTGGTAGTTCGACAAACAATTTACGTGAATTCAATTTTATTTTTTTCACTTTTCATGTACCTCGTCTACAGCTGGTATGGTCAACGCGATGCATCGCATATATCTCTTACACTGTCCACTTGCATGAATCGCGCATGCATGGTTACTGTAGATACTGATCGTTGTTGCTGATGTCATTACTATAGTGTCGTAGAAAGTTACTATTGATGTTTGTGATATCTCTTGCTATACTATAGTATGAAGTTAATGACATCGTAAACGAAGTTTCGTATTACTCGTCTGTGGTGTTTTGATTTATGCATGTTTTTATGAAGTTTTCGATCTGTTTCACGTTCATTACCATGTCTGGACGCGGGAAGGGGAAGGGCATGCGATGGTCGGGGCAGGGTGGGGCAAAGCGGCATCTTGTGAGGATTCGTGGACCAGATGAAGCGTTTCGGAGTAAGTTTAAGAAGGGAGCTATCAAGCGGCTCGCTCGCCGTGCAGGGGTGGAGCGGGTGGGTGGAGTCGTCTATGAGAGTGTTCGGGAGGTGATGAAGAAGTTTATGAGGAAGGTCATCCGGGATGCTATCGTCTATGCGCATTATGCCAACAGGAAGACGATTACACTGATTGATGTGTTGCATGCTCTGAAGCGACAGAGTCAGACGTTGTATGGTTTCCAGTAGAGCTTGCGGTCATTACTTGTAGTGGCACGTTTCCCTTCCGTATTATGGTTTGAGTTTTTAGCATCAATCAATACGGGTTGGTTTAGTGCAAGCTGTAGTAAATGGCTGTATATGATTTTTTATCGGAGCTATCGTAGTAAATGGATGTTTATGAGGTTTTAGGCACTTTTTTCCTGACTGTTCAAGTATTTTGAGGAAGACAGCTCAATTGTCTTTTTTGTGCGCGTGTGGATAGGTCGATCACTTGGGCGTGCGATTCGTTATTCGCTAGTAGGTTTTGAGTGAGATGTAGGTCTGTCGCTCGGATATGTGTATGGTTTATATTCGTGCTTGTTATGTATTCGTGCTTGTTATTGTGTTCAATAGGGTCAGGTGAGGATGTCGTTTATTTGAGTGTTCTCTAGTTGGATTAAGTGGTAATCTTTTATTCGAGAATTGTGTTCTTAAAATTTGGGCACATCTTAGACTGTTTAAGCCGATTTAGGCATTTGAGGGGCTTCCAAAATTGTCTTCGATGGTTCTTCTTCATTGAAAGCTTTTGTCGTCTATCTAGGAGTAAAGTTTTTGAGGTGATTGGCTGCCGGTTACAAGCAGTTGTAGTTTTTTTGCTCCGTTGATCGATTTATGCGAAAGACTGCAAATCGACGATATTATTGTTCGATATGCAAGCGATGGGAGTATGTTGGGAACAAGGCTAGGCATCGTGAGACTGCGATGCACCGGACGCAGTTGAAGGATCTCAAAGCAAGGTCGCTACGTAAGTATGGTTGTGTGGAGTATTGCAGTCTTATATTACATGCTCAGAGATAGCAGCTTCTTCGATGCAAAGTAAGATACGGGTAATGGCATCATCTCGGAAACCAGCAGTGCTATCTAAAGGTGCGGTTATTGATAATGTAACATAGTTCAAGTTAGATTTAAGGTTCCAGTGCATTATCGTTGGAATCGACAAGTTTGTCCGGGCATGATTCGGTGCTGCTGATGACGGGGATGGTACTGCTGCTGCTGCTGATGGTACTGCTGCTGGTGCTGCTGTTGGTGCTGCTGCTGAGTCTTGCATATTTGCAGATGTGCATTCGGGTTGCATTCGGGTTGCATTCGGGTTGATTTATTCGGTTGCATATGATCCTGAACCGCATCATACGACTGGTACTTTTAAATTGAGATGTGGTGAAGATTCGCCACTCTCAAAATATTTTGACTTCCGAGAGGGCTCCTCCCAGCCCGGCGATAGCCGAGCGGGAGGACACTCTCTGGCGAACCCGTCCTGTTGAAGGGACATGGATTTTGCTCGTCTTAACGAGCTTATGAATGGGT